CGCTGCTGCATGACAACGCTCGACCACCTCACGTTGCTCGCGCGACTCAGAGGACCCTCTTGAACTTGGGATGGGAAGTCCTCCCACACGTGGCATGTTCACCAGACTTGGCCCCATCCAACTACCACTCATTCCGGTCAATGCAACAGCACGCCTTGGTGGGGGAACAGTTCAAAATGCTGGACGATGTGGGTAACTCCATCGACGGTAACTTTATTGCCTCGACGTCTGCAAGTTTCTTTCTCGACGGCACTCGTGCGTTACGTGAGGGATGGCGCAGGGTCGTGGAAGACGATAGGGAGTATTTCAAAGATTAATTTCCTTGTTCCCTACCTGTTATGTTACTTAAATTTGCTGAAAAATCTGTACACACACGATGCTAACGTCCTTCGCTTAAATTTGCCCGTAATGAAATAGACTAGACCCAGTGAGTGTCAATTACTTTCGACGTTTACGGGACTTAAAACATGAGCACAAAGGAAGCATACAGGAATACTTTATGTGCATTTGTATATATATATATATATATAGTACTGTATAACGGTAGGAAGTAAGAGAGAGTAACAAAAGGGCCGAGGGAAGTGGGGCTTGGGGTGGTAGGAGGCGGAACGAACAAGGTGGCACGTGGGGAGGGGGGAGAGCAGTACAACAGACGCTGAAAGCAGAGAATTTCACACGAACACACACACACACACGAAGAAAGAGACGTTCAGGGCTTGGCCTCGGGCTGCTTTTCGTCGACAACACCACTCGAAGAATCGACGGGTGTTGTGGGACTGCTTCCCAACTGCTGCTGCTGCTGCGCCATTTTAGCCTGCTTAGCGGCAGTGAGCTGCTGGGTCAGTCGTGTGAGGAGGCTTGTGTGACTGAGGTTTAGCCTGTCTGCCACCTGCGGCATGCGTGGAACCAGGGTTAGAAGACGCGAGACGTCTTGCTTCATCTCGGCCAGGTAGTCCTCCATCATCGTCAACGCTAAAAGTCGATAATAATACGCACTTGCTACTCACAACTATCAAGTAGTCATTCACATTTAAAATTATACAAACAGGGATCGGCGTTGAAATTCACAAAAAAGCGTCACAAAACAGCGTACCTCGATGAAGCAGAGGCACAAGTGACTTGTTTCCAGAAAGGGCTTCTGCGAAGACCTGCTGCTGGGCCACTGCAAGACACTCCAGCTCGTTGAAACGACGATTCAAGCTCTGCACAGTGTCCTTGGGGTCGCAGACAATGTTCTGGTGGGCGGCGCGTCGCAGCTGCTCCTCGATTATGAGCGCTTGCTCCAGCAATTTGAATCGACGCGCCAAAAATCGATTTTTGATCTCCAGGTAATTTGGCTTGCCCTGTTCACTCCGGAAGGGCTCGTTGACCAGCGCGAAACGAGGGTCGTTGTGGATGTCCTACAAGTTAAGCGGGAATTGCAAACGGGGCTACAACTAACAGCCAGGAGGCATCGATCACGCGACAAAGTCACGATTAAACAACCAATCACATTGCAGTCCAGGAGTTGGTTTTTAGTGTTGGCTAACATCATTGGTCTCGCGTATCACGATGAGGTGTGAATCGGTTAGCTTGGAAAGCATGATATTTAGTCTACAAGAAACGTGTGGTAGACATCGACAGTAATCCGTACGAACGGCTTAGCGACAAGTTTAGGAAAATCTGAAATTTCGACTTCGATGAAGACCGTCTGAATCTGCTATTCAAAGAGGGTGAACGTCAAGCTACGTGGAACAAGCTGGTGGAGGGAGTGAACAGCCGCCACCTCGAGTGCACTGACGGCATTCAAAAGATGGCAGAGTGGAATTAACGCAAAGAACCCAAAGACATCAGCTTCTAGGGACCTGTGGAGACGAGAAATAGGGCCTTTTACGACCATAATAAGCAAAGAAAGGAGTGGGTTGCCATGGTCGAGCAAGCAACGTCGGAAGAGGGGCAAGACGGTGATTGGGACATGGTGATTTATTGATTGATGGCAATTCACTGGATTGATATGATGTGACTTACAACAAACACGCCTTCCCATTACCCCAACGACGTCAATCAATCAATAGGATGCATTAGTGAGTGGTGGAAAGCATCAACCACAACCACCGACACCAAAAACACCACCACTAACACCGCAACCCCCAACACCACAACCAACATCACCACCACCACCAACACCACAACCACCAACAACACCACCACCACAACCACCAACAACACCACCACTAACACCGCAACCCCCAACACCACCACCACTACCACCACTAACACTACCACAACCACTACCAACACCACCACCACCACAGATGATGAGCATTACCTGCCACCGACCGTAGCCGTGCTGTACAACGCCCGCGAGGAGCCAGTAGTCGTGTTTGCGGTGCCAAATCTCGTAGCCGCCGGTGTTCTCTTGCAGGGCGCGCTGCTCGTTGAGCCAGATGGTGTGCAGTTCGGTGAACCCGCCGTCGGCGATGTTGAACATGAACGACGGCTTCTTGTCCGTCTTCTCCTCGTTCACTATCATCACCTCGTCCTCCTCGTTGGCGACCTCAGCGTCGCTGTCGCCAACTACGACGTCCATGGCTTCCTTCGTGGACATCGCTGCCGCCTCTTCCTCACCCTCCTCCTTCTTCATCTCCACGTTCCTTGTCTAAACGTCCGAGAGAATAATGAAAGAAATTGGTACTTCCACATCGCAAAACTAACCATGACCCGGCCCAAAATGACCCCTTTCAATTATCGATTTCAAAGTGACTCATTGATTCGGCGTGGTCAAATACGGAGTTCTCTTGGAATCACCAAGAGAAAGCACAGTGAATTGCTTCACGGAAGATTCACAATTGGAGGGCATGCAATGCTGACATTTGTAATTTCGACCTCTCACGTGAAACCGAGGCAGCGTCCACACAAAGAGCTATAACGACCCCGTGCCACAGCTTGTTGGTGTGTCTGATCGCGTTGATAGCAGGCGTTTGGAATGCCGATTCTATATTCTACACCAACGACGTCATTGTTCCCCATGTAGATCAAAATTTAGCAAAAAAATCGACATTTGTTTAAACGCAACGACAAGGCAACAGAGGCGACTTGGTAAAAATTTGTGCAGTGCATGAGGAAGACGCCATTTTTGACCTCATGGATACAACACATTCACACACAACATTCGATCAGAATGACTGGACAAGTGGAAACGAGAGCAGAGTTACACGGGAACACCTAACCTTCCCTACAAGGCGTAGATTCGTCGTCATGGAAGTAATGCACTATCAGGGGAATCATCATTCTCCAAGACAACGTTTGGCGTGTAACCAATTTGAAACTGATTGACCAGGGTATCTGCGCAGGGGTTATCTGAGAGAAGGGGCATTTGACTCCCAGTGAGCTGCCTACCTTTGAATCAACATCCATTGGCTCTTTCATGGTGGCGGCCGCTTTGTCCCCACCACCTGATTTCTCCGCATCTTCATCGATTTTCAGATTGCCCCCCAACACCTAAGTATGTCAAAACAGGTGAACAGATATTAACCCCCAGCAGTTGAGGGCGAATAGGCAAAAGAATTGTGATCTACTACTCTGCAAATCACTCACCAGCGAATCCTTACACCCTGCCTCATCCACCACGGTATTTTCACCCGTGTAGATGTCCATTGGCTCGGTCTTATCGCTGGCCTTGGAGGCGTCGTCGGAGCAGCCGTTCCCGTTGCTGCCCTCCGTGTTCACCGTGAGAGGCTGGGTGGCCGAGGCGGCCTCGTCGACGACCAGCGACGCCACGGAAGGCTTCGGCGTGCGGCAGGGGGTGTCGGGCAGGGCATCGACCGGTTTCGGCGTTCCCGCACTCTCCGTTTTGGTTGACTTGAGGCTGGGAATGCTGTAGAGGCCGTTTATTTGCTCAAACTCCTGCACCTACAGCGGCGAAAACGGGGCGCGTTAGGGTTAACGACTGGAAATTCAAGAGGGGATCAGCATGAGAGGGGTGAAAGCGAGGAGAGGTGAATACCTTCTTCCGCACAAGAGCCATTATTCCGATGCGCGAGAGGATGGGCTGGTGGGCGATGCCATCACGCGGTGTTCCGTCGGAGTACGTAGTGGTCTCCTGGTTCATGCTGTCGGGCTCGCAGAGGTGACGCATGAAGAGGGAGATGTACGCGCGAAAGACCTTCTCCGGCTTGCCCTTGAGATCGCGCGAGTGCCAAGCGGAGACGTAGGCGTTCTGGTCGGCGGGGGGCAGGCCGTAGCGCATGACGGAGTTGACGAAGGCGCGGCGCTGGCGGATGTTGAAGCCGAGCACCTCGATCTGGCCGTTGACGCGCGACAGCAGCGCAGGCATCTTGCCTTCGCGCTCCCGCCGCACTCTACGACCGATCATCGAGCCGATCCCCTCACCGTTGCCACCGTTCTTCTCATCGTACTCCTCATCATCTTCGTCCTGTGCCGGTAGAATAAAACCTCCCAAGTAAAATTAAGGCCGCAGCTGCCACTTCAATGGGTGCTGCTGTTTGAACGAACTTCTCAGGCAATTCGTGAATGGGAAAGCATCGACTGGTGCTGTGGATGAGCGAGTCATTGGCAAAACAGTTCAAGTGTTCAGACAAGCAATGAAATCTAACTAAACTGTTAAAGATGTTTGTTGTGAAAGAGGGATATTTTGAGCGAAAAAAAAGACTTATGTCTTAGGAGGAGGGTGATTTGAAGGTCGAGATGTGAGGAATCGGAGCCTTTTGCAACTCCAACGCATAACACCCCCAGGAAATCACATTGTCCAGCTCGCTGATTGGGTAATCAACCATGCCAACTCAAAAAAATTGGGGGGAAACCCCCGAGTGCTTCAGTGGACACGCTCCAGAAGTTACGCTGACAAGCGACCACAGTTAGAGAGCGAAGTACTACTCGCGTCAACTTCAAAATGAACAGTTATCGCTCGAACACAGGACCGAGGAAACAACAAGATCACCGAACGACAAGCATTCAGAGAGAGCAGTGGAGTGATAAAGGTTCTAGATTAAACTCGCGGTTAAAAAAAACCCTAAATCACTAGCCATCTTAGCTGAAACCACCTATCAAGCCAAGGCTAACGATTCCCATTACGGCTTATTCATAGTTGAGAAGAGAAACTCGACCGGATTGGCGTCGTCTCGTGGCAGCATTTTCAAAAGGTCATGCGCAGTTATAGCAGGATTTCAAAGAAACGAAACGAATTTTACGGTGAGAAATTCAGGGATATAAAATCAAGTAATCACGCCGTTACAGGCATGACCGGGGAATCGGTGATCGATCAAGGGAATCGGATGAACAATGCATTGCAAGTTTGCATGTGAGTCGCAAATTAAATGTTTCAAACACCTCACAATTGCAAAACCCCTGTTACCCCCTAGTCCACCACAAGTCGATCTCTGGTTTTGTGGAAATACCCCGGGCTTTGCTTTCTCTCAACCCGCAGTCCCACTTGGCTGCACAGACTACCCCACAAACCACAATCACCCACGAAACCAAGGCAAACAGACACACACGCTGTGAAGTTATCTCCGTCACTGCCCACACCACTGCACTTCGACACAAGCGTGGTCATTGAGTGCG